TTATTTGTTACATCATTCCTTGTTTGATGGATACATGACTATGTTCATCACTGGTAATAGGTGAGAGGATACAATAAATACAATTATATTTATTATGTTATGTTTATACGCGAACACGCTCAGTGACTTTGAAGATGCATTGTGAAAAAAATTATTATACGCGAACGCACATCTAAAGAATTTATTCGTGATAAACTGACATGATGAGATGTGTGTGGTGAGTAAGTAAGCAGTCGATCGATGTGCAGGTGGCACAGCTCAGGACGGTGATCTATCTGATGTGATGATGATGATGATGATGATGATGATGATTATGATGATGATGACGATGAAGACGACGTGACGACGTGACGACGACGACGATGCTGCTGCTGCTGCTGCTGCTGCTGCTGCTGCTGCTGCTGCTGTTGATGATGCTGATGATGATGATGCTGATGATGATGCTGACGATGATGATGGTGACGACGACGACGACGATCATGATGATTACGATGGCGGTGGTTGGTGATGGTGGTGGTGGTGATCGTGATGATGGTGGTGGTCCTGGTGTGGGTGATGATCATGATAATCCGTCGTGAGACAGGTAAGTATTAAAGTAACCCTATGATGACGGCTCGTCATAATGTTATGCGTATACGCGAACACTTTCCGTGTCTTAGCGAACTATTCGTTCAATACACGAACCGCCGGAGACGCATATCTGCAGTCGTACATATGTATAGACGAAGCACGAGCGGTGCTAGTCGAATCTCACAATACGACAAATTTTCAAGTCTCATGTGTTTTGTTAGATTAGATGTTTTGTGGTGTTGTGCGATTGATATATTATAAATATAAATATAAAATATGATATTTATTTATAATATTTATTATATTATATATTTATATATTATGATCGTCGTTGTTGAACTGTGTCGAACGACGTCTCCGTTTATTGAAGCGGTAAGACGTATTTGAGCGTTCGTTTAATTAACGCGGTACACGTTCGGTGAGCGAGTTGACTTCGCGTCCATCGTTAACGTCCGTTAAATTATGCTCGTCGCCGTGGTGCGTTTTTTATAATCGTATTCGCGGGACGGTATTTTATTTTAAAAAATGGATATGATCTCTCTAACACCGGGCGATATATGTCGTTTGTGTTATTCACGAAAATAATATCAAATGTGTTAAATGATTATTAACATAGTGAAGTATTCACACAGTTGTCTCGTTGTTGAACGTTCTATGAATTGGGCGCACTTGAACGTCGTCCGCAGTAGGTCTGGGTTAATACGTGCGAGTGACGTGAGATACCCGATCTCGCCCGTGACCAGACTGAATAAGAATTCATATATTCTCTCATACGGCACCGGTGCGTTTTAGCGTTAAAACGCTTGCGCGTCGCGTTGCACGTGTGGTCTCGGAGTGTATAGTGACAACGAGACTCAAGTTCTCTCTGTCAGCTCCCTGGTTGATCCTGCCAGTAGTTATATGCTTGTCTCAAAGATTAAGCCATGCATGTCTCAGTGCAAGCCGTATTAAGGCGATACCGCGAATGGCTCAATATATCAGTTTTGGTTCCTTAGATCTTACCTCGGTTACTTGGATAACTGTGGTAATTCTAGAGCTAATACATGCAATCAGAACTCTGACCAGTGATGGGATGAGTGCTTTTATTAGATCAAAACCAATCGACGGAGGGCCTCGCGTCCGAAGTCGTTAATTTTGATGAATCTGGATAACTTTTGCCGATCGCATGGTCCAGCACCGGCGACGCATCTTTCAAATGTCTGCCTTATCAACTTTCGATGGTAGTTTCTGCGACTACCATGGTTGTCACGGGTAACGGGGAATCAGGGTTCGATTCCGGAGAGGGAGCCTGAGAAACGGCTACCACATCCAAGGAAGGCAGCAGGCGCGCAAATTACCCACTCCCGGCACGGGGAGGTAGTGACGAAAAATAACGATACGGGACTCTTACGAGGCCTCGTAATCGGAATGAGTACACTTTAAATATTTTAACGAGGAACAATTGGAGGGCAAGTCTGGTGCCAGCAGCCGCGGTAACTCCAGCTCCAATAGCGTATACTAAAATTGTTGCGGTTAAAAAGCTCGTAGTTGCATTTGTGCGCCGCGCTGTTGGTGCACCGCATCCGCGGTGATACTGACACGTCTGCGGAGCATATCGTCGGTGAGCCGTCGGTAAAACGGCGGTTCAATATCAAAATCCTATCGCGGTGCTCTTCGGTGAGTGTCGAGATGGGCCGACAATTTTACTTTGAACAAATTAGAGTGCTCAAAGCGGGCTCAAAATGCTGCTTGAATATTTCGTGCATGGAATAATAGAATATGATCTCGGTTCTATTTTGTTGGTTTTCAGAACTCCGAGGTAATGATTAATAGGGATAACTGGGGGCATTCGTATTGCGACGTTAGAGGTGAAATTCTTGGATCGTCGCAAGACGAACATCAGCGAAAGCATTTGCCAAAGGTGTTTTCATCAATCAAGAACGAAAGTTAG